TATTATTTTTTATTTTTTTTTTTTTTTCTCTTGAATTTATTTTTGATTATATTAATCTGTGTGAATCTGTGCTGTCCTGTTTTTCACTCTTACCCTGTTGCTGCTTGTACAACTGAATTTCCCCACGGGGATTAATAAAGGTCCATCTTATCTTATCTTATCTTATATCAAGAGTTCATGGATGATTTGAACTCTCCCGGTAGAAAATGTGAATGCTATTTGTCCTTTTTAGAATTGAGTTGTGGACATAAATCTCTTGTGGCTAAAATTATTATTACACCATCAAACAGCAAACACAAAATAACTAACAAACAAAAAACAAGTATTTTTTTGTATAATTTAAATAAATTAACTCTTCAAATTATCCTGGAAAATGTATTATTCCTTTACCTGTTTAAATATGTTTAACGTTTCTTTGTTATCCTCTGTCTGACACGAGAGCCCAGTCGGATTAGAGATGTCCCACCCCTTAGCCTATCACAATGTGTTGGAGCACTAGCCATTAGAAGCGTGTTAAGAGTGTTTCATAGTGATGCCACTATGTTAGGGAAGTTAGCAAAGGATTCAATCATGGCGTTTCAGGCAAATGGGGAATAGGTTGTTGAGAAACTCAATCTTTGGTCCATTTTGCCATTGCAGTCCATTTACATGCACAAAAACCGATATACCGGAACACACTAAAGGAAAGGGAATCCCCAAAAAGTATAATCTGGCCTCTTAAAGTTGTAACACGAGAGAACATTTATTTAGATCAGACTTAGAAAATTGGTTCTGGCTTGTTTCTCATGGCATCTGCAGGTTTCCCACTGACTAAGTGACCCACACTTATTTTTCCTCCCCCAGGACCAGTACCAACTGTGCTACCGCGCTGCTCTGGAGTACCTGGGAAGCTTTGATCACTATGCAACATAACCCCACTCAGAAAGACACCGTCAGAAGAGTTATACCTCTCCTCTGAGCCATATCTACTCAGCTCCATCAGTCCCTGAGGCCTGATGTGGACGCTACAAGGAGGACTGGAGAGGAGGTGACCACAGCAGGAGACATTAGAGGACAGAGGAGAGGGGACAGTCAGGACAATCTCCTCCTGCACCGGTGCCATGATTCTGCCACAGACCCAACACCAAAACTTCCCCAAAACTACCCTGAGAGACTCTTTGCCATGCCTCATTCCTGACTGATTTCTCCCAACATTCCCCAATATCTGCATCCTTCTTTATGGCAACACAAATGTTCTGCTATTTTCATTTATTTTCATCATTACTATGTTATTATAAATATTTAGAATTTATTTTATAATCATTTAAACTGGCTATTATATATGTCTTAATGGGTCTTTTTTTTATTTGCTGATATATTTTTATTCTTTTTATTTGCAAAAATAAAATGTATTTTCAACATTAATATTGGAGAGCGTATACTCACAGCTGCTAATCATTTTATTTTGTACCATAGATATAATATTCTTATGTTATCATTGATCTTATTTACGGGGGTTTGACAGAACGATGTACCAAAAGAGGTCAGATTAACAGACATGTTTGTGAGCTACTGTATGAAATATAACTATTGCCATAAACTGACTATTATCAATTAACTGTTTACTGATTTTCACAAAGCCAATACAAATCTGGAGACTTGGAACAAAAATAAATAGAAGTTGTTGGAAAAGCTTGTTGACACCATAGCCCCTCTTGACACAGACGCAGGTAGACTGAACACAGACACTTTGTTCTTGATAACGTTTGTGATATAAGTGTGACCACATCACATTCTAAACCAGCCCGTGCTTAGACAAGAGATAAATCCAGTATGGCATCAACATCAAGACTCAATGCCGAAATGTAATCAAAATGGTTTAGTTTCTAACTGTTCTATAGCTGATCAGTCAAAACAGGCGGAACTAATGCTGTTTTGGGGGAGTATTTTCATCAGCAGATTCACATGTGGTGCTCTAGTGAGTATTTGTGGCAGCAGGACAGTGTGTGTGTGTTCACGGTAAAAAAGGAACATGTCAGTGTGACAGTGTGACTTATTGGTATGTTTTATTAGTTTTTGGAAAACAATGGAGCTCTATAGCCCACCGGAAGAGGATACATCCGGCACTCACACAATTCTTCATAGTAAGATCACTTCATTGTTGGTGTTGGGTTGTCGGTGCATTGGATTTGTTGATAAGGCTCTAAATAAAAAAATGTCAAAACTGTTGATCTAAAACCCAACACAGATCACAGCCTAATATTAAAGCTTCAACAGTCGACTGGGAGTAAATATAGATGTTTGGGGGGATTATTAAATCAAATAGGAAATCAGGAGATTGCGAAGTATCACAAAAAAACATTTTCTCGCCTACCCTTTGATTGCCACAAATTAGCTAGATGTGTCTAACTTGCTCTAACATGCAATCTGGTTCCGGTTGATGGACCCAAAATGATTCTTATAGACAGGACAAAACTTCCCCTTTCATCTCATGACCTTCACATACATGGCTCAAACCAACAGGACACAAGCAGATATACTGGAACCCCATTAATGGTATATTTCATCCCAACGTGTATCACTGTGTTGCAGATGGACAGACTGAAAGAAGAAGTAATGTTCAGTGTTTTTCACTGGATGAGATCACAGAGTTGGGGGTGGAGGAAGTGGACCATATAAAGGATTTATTTCACTGAGTCGTGCTATAGGGATCCTATCAGTTGTATACATGATCTGTTTTCTATTTGGTAATAAAAAGCAGACACAAATGTCTTGAAAACCTTGATGTTAATAAAGTTGAATAACTGTTTTTTTAATAATACAAATGTGTTGGACTTTCTTTCTTTCTTAGCTGTGTGATAATGTGGTGTGAGGTGACGCCCTCTGCATTTTTTTCCATTCATTAAGACATTTGACTTAGTGAAAGTTGATTATCAGGAGTTTCCATCAATTCTCTCATTTGTCTTGGTTGAGATTTGCAAGAACGACTATTGAGTAAGGGGACCTATCATGCAAAATGCACTTGTGGACGTCTTTTATACATGAATTATGTCCCCGGTGTGTCAGGGAACTCACCAAGTGTCAGAAAACACAACCCTTATGGGGGTTATTCCCTATCTTTATTCAAGAGCGTGGTCTTTAAATTTGAGAGCATACTTTATTGATTTCACGTTCAGAATATGTATTTATGTCCTCACACTCAAATAGTGCCTGCTTGCACTTAGATTTGCTCTGCTTCTGCTCAAACTGTACGCTTAACCTCAGATATATTGCTGCTTACAGATTTCCTGTGTTCCAGCTTAAAACCTTCTCCTCGCACTCAGGCTGCTCGTGAAAATGTCTGCTCTCAGATTTTTTCTATGCGCGCTCGGATATTTTGTGCAACAACCCTGTCAAAATCCCTCAATCAATAGGAGGCCTGGTGTCCTTGCGGAGCGTTCGCTTTACTTGTGGTTTATAAACTACCGCCCTCCACGGCTTCACTTGTTTAATTTAGAACTTTTTTTTGGAGGGGGGGTAAGCACAGTTAGTATATATTTATAAAACGGACAAATCAAATCAAGCAATCTGATGTTTCTTAGCCGTGATATAATGAGCGTATATCCCGGGTATAATTGTAGTTACTTTTCACAAGTCAGTATCCCTCCGCGTCTGAGAAAAGCTACAACCGTTACATTACGTCCGTTACGAAACTAACTAACTAACAAAGCTTAAGATGGAAACATTTAAGGTTAACTTCGACCGGGGTGGCCTTACTATGGAGGAGTGGATTGAGAAGTGCCTATCTCCAGAAGAAAAAAAAGCACCGAAACGACGACAATGCTGTCTGTCTAATATGTTCGCTAGCTGTTATTGTTGTTGCATAGCAACCACCTCGCACTATTTGTGCAGAAACCCTCTCTCTTTTCCTCCGTACCCAAATCTCTAAAAACGGGGCTGCAACGGATCTGATACAGACTGATACAGATTTGAAATATCTCTGACGTCAGAAACAAGGAGCTCCGCCTATATGGCCAACTCTCCACCTATCAGGGGAATGGGGGGTTGCTGTGGCATGGTAACAGCATGGTAACAGCATGGTAACATGACGCTCGTGCCTCGCCCCCCTCCTTTGCAGGGGGGCGTGGTCAGCTGCAGCTCATTTGCCACAGAATCAGCCCTTGCAAAAACAGGGCTGGAATACAGCAAATAGAGCGAAATGAGGCATGGCTAAAATGCATGATCTGTTTAGTGATTTGAAAAAAAAACTTCACAGACATGTTTTATATAGGTATGGCCCTACAATATATTATTCAAATATAGCATGATAAGGTTTACAATACATCCTTTAGAAGTAGGCCCATAAATCTGCAAGAATACATATTTAGATCATATAAATTAGGAATGTAGTGAAACCTTGCCAAAAATATTCGATTGTTATTGAACTATTTAAACTGTACGGTTGTAAATATTATAATGTTCGAGAAAAACTATATTGTGTTTGGCTGTAAAAAGAGGACTTGACTTAAACTAGACCACCTTAGGGAGAAATAATTCAAAGAACAATGCTTCTGCATATGACTATTTCGATATTTTAATTGAATTTTAAACAAATTGCTTGATATGTATTATGGTTTTTATAACTGGCCTGGATAGCTGTATTCACAAAGATAACTATCACAGTAGAATAATAATAATAATAATAATAATAATAATAATAATAATAATAATAATAATTCATTAAAAAAAAATATTAGAGCACTTTTCAAAGCACTCAAAGTGCTTTACAATTACACATTACACATATTATACATGTAACAGTTATTACTGTGTGTGGACAATACCCACAGGACAGGAGCAAATTAGGGTGAAGGGCTCATACGCAAATCATTTGACTAAGGAAATGTATGCAGTCAATATTGTTTAATTTCTGACAGACTGACAATGGTGCAGGCATGGTTTGGAGGAGAGGCGTTGTGATTGGCTGGGGACTACGGAAGCCCCTCCCGCTGGGCTCCATGTAAACAATCACACACTGAGCATGCGTCACTGGAATAATGGAGGACTGTCTTTTCCACCCGGATTTATGCTGTCTGTATTTCTACTCTACTACCTTTCTTTTTTAAGAAAAACAACTCGTGTACATTTCAGCACGTGTAAGTTAATGTTTGACACTTTAAAATGAGTTGCTTTGTAGGAAAGTATGAGTAACTTTAAGTTTAGCCACAAGAAAGTGACGGTCAGCAACAAGCCATGTTTGCTAGTTTGCTAACGGAGAGCGAAGGCAGCTGTCAGATCTCTCAGTCCGCTACACACTTTGCGGCTGCTTCTGTTTCCATAAATGGTTATGTGAATTGACACAACACCCAGCATTGTATACTAATGTTTATTTCCTAATATGGCAGTGGTTTGTGTTTGTTTCACCCCTCTTTTAATTCCTAAGACGCAGAGCAAGCTATCTTGCAGTTAGCATGTAGGCTAGTGCAGTAACGTTAGCAATATATTTTTCGGAGGAACAGCGCTGTCAGTGGGCCACGGTGCGAGACAGACATGGTTTTCAACCAATCACAGGCTGAGAATTGCAATCAAAAATGATGGTTGTTCACAATCAGAGTTACATGGCGGACTCAGTGGGCGTAACCCCGAAGTATTCTGGGTTTTACTAGTAAAGTCAGTAAATACCAGTCTATGGTAAATACAGAGTTTAGAGTATATTTGCCTGTAAGTTAAACATCTTCTCAGTTAGTCCGCTCTCCACGAAAATACTCTTGTGATATAGGTTAAGTTGGAGATCAGCGTTTAGTAGCATAGAGGCCAAGAGGGAACCTAGGATAATGAAAAAACTATTTTGGATAAAGGTTGAAAGTTGAACCATCTTTAGGGTTTGCTTGCTTAATCGGTTCAGGTTTTAAGAATGCTGCAATATTGTTGAAGTTGTGTTTATTTGTATATAGTCTAATCTATCTTGGTTAACATCCTATATGTACATGTTTTTTAGTTGTAGGTTATCATTGCGTTGCATTCACTAACATAATAGAAGTGTCACATATCTGACAAGGAGCTTTGGAACTGTAATTATGATATCTGGTACTGTTTCAATCACTTTTGGAGTTTTACCAACAAAGAGTCAATACATATGATCCAATAGTCTGTTACTCTCAAGTGATGGAACATAAAAGGAAGCCAGATGCTGTGAATCATGTGACTTTAAGTCGTCATGGTGATCATGTCCATGTTTTCCTCCTACAGAGTTGAGGTCAGAGTAAAATGCCTAAGATGACTACAGACAAGCCTGCCCAAAGTGTGGGCTCCAGGATAATGACGTTCTCCCCCTCCAAAGAGGAGTTCAAGGACTTCAGCCGATACATCGCCTATATGGAGTCACAAGGAGCACACAAAGCTGGAATCGCGAAAGTAAGAAGAGTCTATTGTATTTGTGTATGTAATTATAAGATAAGAGATAAGATAAAACTTTATTGTCTCCCTTAGGAGAAATGTGTCTTTTCATCGAATTATGATCGATACAATGTTATAGTGGCTCTTTATTCAATGTATTTAGTTCCTAGGCTTCTCTGAATGGTTATCTTAGTTCAGACTTTTTGTGAAGACCCAATGTACTCACCGGAGTGATCTTCTTTGAAAGTCAATTGTATTTTTACTGCAGGTTATTTCCATCCAGAACGCATCTCCTGCGGTCCACTACCCACTTGATATTCAATACTACAAAACTGCATAAAGTAACTCCAATACATCCCTTACTAACATGGGACACAACTGACTTTGATCCTGACTTACAGACTTGCACCTTTTCACTGGCGTAAAGCAGTTGAACTCTGCTGGACACGTGCACTGAAATCTGCTATACAGCACTTTCACCTGTTGTAAATAATAACAGAAAACTTAGCATCAAGAATAACAATACTATACAAATACTGTAATATTCATTTAAATGATATTGAAAATATATGTCATTTGTCTTCCCAACATAGACCTTATTTGTTGTTATTATGTGATAAAGTAGTTGATGAGTACGACTGTATAAAGTGTTGTGATTAAGATATCTTGATGCTTTCAGCAGAAGTAAGCAAATATCTGTGAATACTTTTGCATCAACATTAGTACCGTGTTTATGAAGCTAATTCTGGTTACAAATCATCTTTATCAGGATGTAATGTTTACATGAGCATAGGGATATCTGGTGATGTATATTCCCCTTATACATGATACACAAGAGTCACCCTGATTACTGTGTTCTGTTTGTGCAAGGCCTGCAACGTTTACAAAAACAAACTGCAGGTGAGATTGTCAGGACATTTTGAACACTACCTCTTGAGAACATTTCTGCTAGTTGATCGCCAAAATACAATAATATGTTATGGTCAGCAACCTCTTTGGATCCTCAACAGCTGTCAGCTCAGAGAGCATCATCATATCTCTCTCTGAACCACACACAGGCACAGACACTACGTACTGAGCTATTCCTGAAAGCAACTGCGTAGGATAGGGTAGCAGTGGATTGGGAATTGAGTCTCTTTCATTACTTAAAGAGAAAACTCCGTTTCTTCATCGCTTCATTTGTGTTGCTTTACTTGGCTGCATCTGCTCAGAAAACAAGCTAAGAAGTAATGATGCAAACTTGGTCTATATTATATATATTTCCACAGCACTAATTCCATCAGCACATTGACAGAATCCTCACTCTGCTGCTCTGAGTACACTTATCTGTTTTCATTCCGATACCTTGTTTTTATCTTGCAGGTAATTCCACCTAAAGGCTGGAAACCTCGAAAAACATATGATGACATCGATGACCTGGTGATACCTGCTCCCATTCAGCAGGTAGTGACAGGCCAGTCCGGACTGTTCACACAGTACAACATCCAGAAGAAGCCAATGACCGTCCATGAGTTCCGCAAGACATCCAACATGGACAAGTCAGTTCACGTAGTAATAATAAAACACAGTCGATCGAGTGATGTTATTACCACAATAACTATAATACTATAATGTTGAAAACCTGGCATAGTATGGTATTTAGAAAAGCAACCAAGCTCTCCTCTCATTGTAGGTTCTGCAATCCTCGATATGTGGATGTTGATGAGCTGGAGAGGAAGTTTTGGAAGAACCTGACCTTCAACCCCCCCCTTTACGGTGCTGATGTCAGCGGAACACTGTATGATCCAGTGAGTGGTAATAGTTGATAATGCCATTTCATTTTTGACAGTATCAGTCACTGTCGTTACGATTAACGGCCTCTTAATCTGTCCTTTACAGGATGTGACTGAGTGGAACATCGGCCGCCTCAACACCATTCTGGACACGGTAGAGAACGAGAGTGGGGTCAAGATCAAAGGAGTGAACACACCGTACCTCTATTTTGGGATGTGGAAGAGTGCCTTCGCGTGGCACACAGAGGACATGGATCTGTACAGCATCAACTACCTGCACTTTGGAGAGCCAAAGTCCTGGTACAGTCACTGACACACCCTTAATGCTGCACACACAATGGCCCTCTGCTCTCTTCTCACTGCTTACATGTATTTGTGTAGTGTCTTTCATAAACAGTTGCATTACAAAAGTGCTACACAAACCTTTGGTGATTAGAATCCCAAAGTTAAAGGATATTTTTTAAAGCATCTTCAAATCTGTTCTAAAGTTGAAAGGCATCAATGAAGTGACATTAAGACATGGGAGTTCTCATTCTCATTCCAGTAATTAAGCTTGCTAGTAATAAAAGCATTCTAGCATTATATCTGATTGTAACTAAATTCTCTAAAGTACAGGCTAGATACTTTGCAAGGTTATTGGCATCCACATTCTGCTGTTAATATCAAAGTCATTGCCGCAGTAAATATACTTGTTCTTTTGTTTCTTTGCAGGTATATTGTCCCACCAGAGCATGGGAAGAGACTGGAACGACTCGCCAAGGGTAAGTGTTGCGTTCTCACATAAACCCATACATGGATTATAATGTGTATAACACACTCGTTATGTGTTATGTTATGTGGTGCAAATGGATCATTTACACTATAGTTACTCACCCTTGTGTGCCACAAGCCACAGCGTGTCATGCTGAGTTGTTTCAAAGAGGAAGTCTAATCTGCTTTCAGTAAACCTCTATACCATGTGGAAAGTACCTTGTTTCACATACAATACTTCAAATAAACGACAGACCCAGAGAGGCTCGTCTTCACTGATGTTGTGTGTGTTGCGTCTTGTATTTCCAGGTTTCTTTCCAGGGAATGCCCAGAGCTGTGAAGCCTTCCTGCGCCACAAGATGACATTAATTTCACCCTCAATCCTGAAAAAATATGGCATACCATTTGAGAAGGTGATCTTTTATTTACTTTGTGCTGTACATAATCCTTTACAACATACAGTATAACAGCAAAATGCTTAACAAACATGCATTTACAGTATGATGATAATGATATGAAAACATTATGTAAAATGGTATATCTGATCTTGTAATTCTGTGTTATTTTTATTATTCAGGTGACTCAGGTGACTGGGCAGTTCATTGTGACGTTCCCCTTTGGTTATCATGCTGGTTTCAACCATGGCTTCAACTGTGCTGAGTCGACCAACTTTGCCACCCAGCGATGGATCGATTACGGCAAACAGGCGACACTGGTAAGCAACAAATTAAATACAATGTAAACAGCAGTGAATCATAATCTATGACATAATCACAAAGGCTTCAGCTCCTGGGATGCGCAGGGATTGAGGTTCATTATGTCACATTATTTTGTTGAAACATTTAGCCGTAGTTTGTTTCTTTGAAAGCAGTTGGAGGATTGATTTGTTCATCACGTTATCCTGAATAACAGTGTGCTCTTATTGTTTTAAATAAAGAAAAATGGTTTTTAGCAATAAAATGCACTGTTGCGATACAGCATGGATTCACTCTGGTTTACTTATGTGGTTTATTGATTTATTAAGGTGATTGGTAGGTGTTCATAGTGGATAATACACATATTACTATAAGTACTAATTATAAGCTTGCTATGACATTGAAACCTTAAAAAAAAAAAAAAAGTGAGTTCTGCAAATATAAAAGAAATCTAAGTAAAGGGCCTAAGTAACCAATATTATTATTTTTTAAGTATTTCATTGTGTTATCTGATGGATTCACAGAAAATGAAAGTCATGTGCCAACGTTAGATTGACCAGACTTCTAGTTCCGGATTGATGTGACTGCACATAGTCCTTGATCAGAATGTCCTTAGCAAGCGGTCTGCTATCCCTAGAGATGTCCAATTTGGGCAATCAGAATTTAGTATTCATCTAAGCAGGGTGTTAAGAGAACACTTTCAACCCCAATAGTGAGTTCAACTGTTTTCAAAGCATTGTTTTGTACCATGTTTTGAACCTTGACTCAAATATAGATATGTGTGTTCCTCCCAGTGTTCGTGCCGACAGGACATGGTGAAGATCTCCATGGACGTGTTCGTACGCAAATTTCAGCCCGACCGTTACAAGCTGTGGAAGGCAGGGAAAGACACCGCTCCCATCGACCACTCCAAAGTCACTCCTGAGGCCACTGAGCTTCTGGAACAAGACATCAGCGAACCTTCAAAAGAGACTCCCACTGAAGCTGTGTCTGAGGAGCCCACTAGTCCCATCCTGGAGGACAAAAGGTCTGCATTTAATCCACCAATTCTACTATTCTACTATGGATGTGAATTACTTATGAAATACCAGATTCCTTTCTCAATGGTTCTTTATTTAAAGTATTCTTGGGCATATTTATACAGCAAATCCCATGTTAAGATTTTTGAAATACCTTTTCTGTGTTGTTCCAAAAATCTTGGTCCTTAACTGTGTAGTTGTTTAACTTTTCTCTAAGCTTAGTTATCATATCTCTGTTAAAATGCACTTCAGCATTATATCAATAAGTACATTGTTTCTGTCTTCAGATCATTTACTTAGGTAAATCTAGTAATACTGTAGTGGCGTAGAAAGTACAACGTTTTGCCTCCAAAATGTTGTGGAATAGAAGGATAATGTTGCATAAAATGAAGATTGTGTGTGAAAGATTTGTTCTTCACACGCTGTATTGGAAGCAGTGCTTCCCCTTGAGTCATAGTGCATGTCTTAACAGTTTTTTTCCATGCATCAGTCCAAAGCCTCAGACTGGAACAAAGCGTCAGCTAGAAGCTGATAAAGCATCTGCAGGTATCAAACCTGAGCTGACGATGGAGGAGACTGAGGAGGTGGAGCCAAAGAAGGCCAAGCTGTCACGCAAGGAGACTCCCACTAAAGTCTCTGTGAAGCCCAATAAAGGTACAGTACAGTTCACTCAGGACAAAGGGCATTAGGGTCAAACTGCATCTTTACCGACAGCTCATTCTCCTAGCTTCATTTCATTTGTTGTTGTAAAGGAAGTAATGACCTGGAAGATACTGAGCCAACGACCTGTGACCGTTTTTTAGGAGGATCTTGGTGTACCAGTAGATGCAATAATGTTGGTCATTTCTATGTTATTCTTACAGACACAGTAAAAGTCAAGACAGAGCCTAAGAAGGAGAAAGAAGCCAAGCCTCAGATTAAATCCCAATCCAGACCCAGGGCTAAGAAAACTCCCAACAGACAAAGCATTATGAAAAAAGAGAAGAACGGTGTGCCAGCTGCAAACAGCTGTCCATCAGAGCACATTGAGAGCCAGGGGGCGGGTCTCTGCTCTGAGGAGGAGAGTCAGTGGGGGGGCAGCTGCAGCCCGCCACACAAAGCGTTCCAGAGGACGCTGAGCCCCGCGGACGTCCTGCACGTACACAGCTACGCCAAGGGAGACTACGCAGAGGGAGAGCCCCCCCCGAAGGAGGAGAGGACGAGTGAGGACAGTGACAATGAGATTGAGAATGACTACAGAAATGTTTGCAAAGCAGTAAGTTGACAAACTTAACACATGTATTAGCCAAGTATTGTTCACTTTATTGTTAACATTATTTCAAACAATTGGTTTCAAGAGGCGCTTTCACACCAGTACTACTACCCAGGAACTCTTATTTCCTGGAACTATCTAGTAAATCGCGTGCACACCAGAATAAGTCCCAGAGGGAGCCGCTGACGTCACTTCTTCTTCTGCTTTGGGTTTACTGGCAGGCCGCAAACAACTTCACGGCGTATACTGCCACCCGAAGTCCCCGGCCGGGAGTCCCCGGAGTTAGGGACTGGCTTCAGTAGAAGCTGCTGTGACTCCCAGCAGCTTCTACTGAAGCCTTCCTAGTAAATCGCCAGAACGCCGACACCTCCTCATCACTCCACCATTCCCATGTTTTCTTTTGTGTTGCCATAAGTTATTCTCTCTCCGTTGGTGCGCTGGGCTAATGCTAATGCTAATAATGCTAATGCCAGCAAATAAAATGGCGGCTTCCCAAAAACTTGTCAGAGTTTTACGGGGCGTGGTTTGCAATTCGCCCAGCCAATCAGAAATTGTAAACTTTTTCTCCCCAGGAAAGTACCACCTCTCTAGCAGGGACTGAAAAAGGGGGGAAAGGTTCGCAAAAAAAAGTTCTAGATCTTTTTGGTGTGAACGCAAAATCCCAGGAACTATCGGAACTATTCCTGGGAAAAGTACTCCGGTGTGAAAGCGCCTAAGGATGCTCAGATGAGTTAGATGCCAGTTAAAACAAAGAAGGAGACGATTAATCTCATGTCTAATCAGGACACAGTCCTTGATGCATTAAGACAGAATCACAGAAGTGCAGAAACAAGACACAAAAAAAAGACATTGAATATTAACTGTGTGGTAGGTTTGAATGCATTGCCTGTTCATAACAGTCCAATTGCTTGAAGTGCTGCCTGCAATCAGGGGCGCCGTAAGGGGTGAAAAGTTAGGTCGATTCTAAGGGCCTGTGACTGACAGGGGCCCAAACTATTTTAGAACATTAAGAAAAAAAAATGTAAGTAACCAATGTGATATCTTTTCATGGGTCCCAAAATCCCTGTCGGCGCCCCTGTCTGCAATTAATTGAATCATTGATTCCAGGGAAGTAAAAGATACTTTAGTTGTTACGTGGTTATGTCCCGCATTCAGCAGCAAAAGTCCAGCCAATAAGCATCAGCGGTTAAAGGCTTGTTGTGTAAAACATGCTCTACTCAGTCCAGAGCCCTGAAGGTCCACCCCACTGCTGCACAGGGCAAAAGATAAAAATATACCAGGGTGGTCTTGTGTAAAGCCGGCCTGGATGCTGATACTAACAGTGGTGTGTCCCTCAGCGGGGGGCCGGAGAGGCAACTGGAGATGAAGAGGAAGAGAATGACCTGGGACAGCTTCCAGGCCACCATCCACTCATAAAGGACGGCATGAGTGATGAAGGTTAGTGGCAAGGCCTCATCTTCATATTGTCTGAGCATTTTATTTGTAGAAATGGGTTAAGCGAATATCCTCAAAGTACTTTTAAATCTGTGTAGTCAAACATTGCTATTGGGCTTGTTTGTCCCTCAGAGGTTCCAGAGGAGGCCCCCCGGGTAGAGGAGGGTGGTCTGGAGGGGGAGAGCTGGGCTAAACCTCTGGCTCACCTGTGGCAGAACAGACCCCCCAACCTGAAGAAAGAGAAGGAGTACAACCAGCGCATGGAATCCAAACCTCCATACTGCTCCATTTGCATGCTGTTCTACACATACCAGCAGGTAAGATCCACTCACCGCCAACATTTAGAGCACATCCTATGGAGAGAAAAAGTCATTCAATTCAATATTTATTAGTGCATCACTATTTTTTTACATAACTTTGAAGACATCATTCAGCCCTGCACTTTCATACAACATTACATTACGTGTTATTTAGCTGACGTAGCTATTTGTACATAATTGTTAGCACCAACCCAACTTTCATGTAGACCAGTAGGTGTTTTTTTTGTCCATATTCATATTATCTACTGTGTTGTAAGCTCTATGTTTCTGTGCTTGCTGGCAGACGGAATGTGCCAGCATTGTGGACAGTCCTGTCATGGTTCCTGGGGGGGGCATGCGGACCAAACCACTGATCCCAGAGATGTGTTTCACCACCACCACAGAGGAGGACTCTGAGTGTGAGGAGCCGCCCGTAACGCCTCATCTAGAGGAAGACGGAACCAGCCTCCTCATCAGCTGCTCTCAGTGCAGCATCCGGGTTCACACCAGTGAGTACTGCATCTCCACAGTTATATCATATAACATCAGTGTTGGGCAAGTTACTTAAAAAAAGTAACTAGTTATAGTTATTGTTCTCAAAAAAGTAACTAGTTACTTTATTAGTTACTAAATTATAAAAGTAACAAGTTACTTTACTTTACTTTTAAAAATAATAACAATACAAATACAAGTTATTGTGTTGCTCTGTGGCACAGTAAGAGAAAAGACAACTCCCCATCATTGTAGCAATTATCATTATGAAATGTAGTGGAACAATAAAACACAAAAGATATGTTTAGACATTTTGACAGGGATCTTTATAGCCTCAACAATCAAGTTCTAAGTAGTGCAGTTGTAGTGCAATATGAAATAACAACAACTACACTCTTTTGGCAGTAACAATTAAATAAATAATAAACTGTCAGACTGACACTGAAGACAAACAAACTATTTTCAGCCTCACAAAAACAAACTAACAGTGAAATAATTGACCTCACATCTGGCCATTTCGCATAAACAAAATCAATAATGGTGGATAAACTTAAGAAGAGGTGCTTTCAGCCTTATAAGTAATACCTTGAGATGCTTTTCCCCATAAGGCAAGACCCGCCCAACTCTGTCTCTGATTGGCTTACCCTGAAATGTTACCCCTTGTTAACCAATCATCACTCCTCTCTGGTCACTTTCACTTTTCCATGGTACTATGAGAGGACATCGCTGTATTCGCCTGTAAGTTACATCCGCAGGGAGATTCGGTTCAGTTCCATCACATAATGTAACGCAGTAACGCACCCATTTAAATCACAGTAACTATAGCGGCGTTACTGAATGGGAATAGGTAACTAGTAACGTTATTAGTAACCGCAAAAGGTAGTTGCGTTACAGTAACGCGTTGGTTTGTAACGCGTTAGTCCCAACACTGTACATTGTTGTTGACTCCACCCCTGTGTCAAATAAGACAGAGATGCTTAATTGTTTTAATAAACATTGTATTGCCTCCAGTTCCTTGTTTGACACAATATCTTTTGGTAAATCATCTCCCTCCATCACCACCAGTCATGCCTCCAGCAGCCACACTTTCTCCTTCAACCCCTTCAATGTTGGGGAGGTTTGTAAGGCTCTAAAGGGCCTAGACCCCAACAAATCAGCAGGTCCGGACGATCTCCCCCCTTATTTCCTACGGCTAGCTGCAGATATTATAGCCAAACCACTTTGTCATGTTTTTCATCTTTCTATAACAAGCAATGTCATTCCAGATGTTTGGAAAACTGCAAATGTTCTCCCCTTATTGAAAGGTGGTGATCCCATGGTGATGAATAATTACAGACTAATTTCCAAGCTCTCTATTTTAGCTAAAGTACTTGAAAGTCTGGTGAATGATCAAATCAAAGAATATTGAAGCTTGAACAACATTCTATCTCCTCACCGGTCAGGCTTTAGGAAGCAGCACAGTACAGTAACGGCTGCTTTGAAAGTAGTGAATGACATTGTTGAAGGCTTGGACGCAAAGAGCTACTGTGCTGCCCTTTTTATAGACTTATCCAAGGCATTTGATTCTGTGGACCATGGCATTCTGTGCCAGAAGTTATCCCATATAGGCCTGTCTGACCAAGCTGTTGGTTGGTTTGCAAACTATCTTTCAAATCGCAAGCAATGTGTACAATTCAGCGGTCTCTCCTCAAGCTTTCTTAATGTGCCCAGAGGCGTTCCTCAAGGTTCGATCTTGGGACCGACCCTTTTTACTATTTATATAAATGATGTGGGTCAAAGTATGGATGCGTCTGTACATCTATATGCAGATGATACTGTTGTGCTAGCACTGTTGCGCTTGCATTTGAACGTCTGCAGTCTGCTTTTGACACTTTTCAGTCACATCTGTTCCACCTCAGGTTGGTGTTAAATTCAGATAAGACAAAAGTCATGTTGTTTTCCAATAAGAAAAAGTGACCAACTGTTCTTCCCTGCATCATGTCTGCACAGCATAACCCCATTGAAGCTGTTAACACCTACAGATACTTAGGCATCACCATAGATGAAAATCTCTGCTTCAAACCACACATTGACAATCTCTTAAGGAAATTGAAATTAAAGCTGGGATTCTTTTTTAGAAATAAGGCCTGCTTCTCCACAAGTGCGAGGAAACGGCTTGTAGCTGCCACATTTGTGCCGCTCTTGGACTACGGGGATGTTGTGTACATGAACGCCTCAGCTCACTCCCTTCATCTGCTGGACGCTGTCTACCATGGGGCTCTGAGGTTCATAACCAACTGTAAACCCCTCACACACCACTGCACGCTGTACGCTTTAGTCAACTGGACAACATTATCAATGCGCAGATCACTGCACTGGTACAAACTCATCTATACTGCTATGCTTGGACTGCTGCCCCTCTACATATCCACTTACATATCACACAAACAGTACAGCTATAGACTAAGATCTCAACATTACATCACTCTGTCCGTCCCCTCAGTACGCACGGTGCTTGGGAAAAAAGCCATATCATACTCTGCCCCCTCGACCTGGAACACACTTCAGCAGGAACTTAAGCTGACCACTTTGATACCCATCACGGATTTTAAACTCATTTTAAAAAAGCTGGAGAAATCATCTGTGGGTGTTTGCACCTGCTATATCTGACTGCTGTATATGGATTTTAATGACTACTTTTTGACGATGTTGTATTTTAGTGTTGCCTCTGTGTTTAGTGTCCTGTCTGTCTGTAACTTTGTGTGGTAGTGTTACCACTGACAGGTCTCTCTTGAAAATGAGACCTTGTGTCTCAATGAGATCTACACCTGTATAAATAAAGGCTAAATAAAATAAAAATAACATACCCTGTGCACACGTGACCCAACCCTGCCGACCTTATTATTATTATTCTAATTTTCTCCATTTTGGTGCATGACCAAATGCTGTCTGTGGATGGCAGCACTAACAAAACGTCATAATGTCTCAGCTATTACACTAGTGTGTCTGACTGAGTCTGTGTTTATATATTTTAGGCTGTTACGGTGTGGATCCAGCCAGTGTGAGCAAGGAGTGGAAATGTGCGCGCTGCAAGGCCAACGCCATGAATGAGGTCAGTGAACCAAAACATGTTGCTCTGTTGTTTCCATGGAGCCCTCTTGCTAGTTGCCTAAGTGGCTCTTCACAAATCAAGCATCCCAAATGATGATACACATGTTTGAATCAAATCTGCCCTTTTATCAACAAGGCTTACATTGTTTACACTTGAGCCTACTTTTTCTCAGTGTCCTCATCTAGTGCTGCCAATATGTTTAACCCTAACCTTAACCCCTTACACCCCTTGATGTCTAATGACATCAAACACGTTGAAGTTTGTGTAAGAGTCCAATAATTAGTATAGAGTGAGGCTGCACTGAGCACATGGGTACATTTTGGAACTGAGGTGTTTGTGCTTTAAATGTAGAGGCTCACTTGCACAGTGTCACATGATGAAACAGTAAGTAGAGCAGGAAATGGAGGATCCCTTAGCTCATCTTCAATGGATTGGAAGTAAGCTTAAGAGACGTTTTTTTCCTCTTCGATTCAATTGGATTATGTTAGATATACTATTTTGATCCCGAATTAGGATTGTTTTGTTATAGCAGCACGTTCAGAAGCATTACACATGAGTACAAATAGAATCAAATACAAATGTAAATATATACATAGAAACAGTAGAAACATGTATATCTTTAGAGTATCCAATACACAATATGAAAATATACTCTATAATGAACTGAATCTTCTCCAAATAGAAACAAAAACATAAATATAGGATACTAGATTATTAAAGTTGAGTTGTTTTTTTATTTGATTTAAATGTCAATCCCTCAGGTTCAGTTTAGGGACAGAGGCTTCCATGGTTACAGGATTCTTTGATGTATTACCTCCTCAACATGGTCTAAATAAGCTGCGGCTCATGTTGCTGCTGGCAACAGAAACCCTGCGTTAAACACAACATCTAGGAGTCTGACAACAATAATTGTTTACTACTCTCTTGAGTTTTGGATTGAAGCTACAAACCTGAAAAGATCAGGACTCTTATGGTTAGCAATCGATTGATGACATGGTCTTTTTTGCAGAATTGCTGTTTGTGTTCGCTGAGAGGTGGAGCCTTGCAGAAAGCCAACAACAACAAGTAAGTTGTCAGGATGGGTGAAGTACAGCTAGTTTTAATCATCTGCACTTTGATCATGTTTTTTCTCAAGCAGCTCTAAGATATTTAAACCACTTAACGGCCAACAATATTCAAAAATATGAATCGTGTAGGGACGCACGTTGGTCGGTTACCAACGTTGCAGGATTTGACCACTTCAAGAAACGCCAACAATGATCAAAAATGTTGTAAGATGAAAAAGGTTTTCTTACAATGCCACATAACTAAAGAACCATAAACAATATGTGCGCATGTTTTGGTTTGTTGCAGGTGGGTACATGTGCTGTGTACAGTTGCTGTGCTGGAGGCACGCTTTGTCAACATCACTGAAAGAAGTCCTGTGGATCTAAGTGGAATCCCTTTGCAGAGGTTCAAACTGGTGAGTGAAAATAACAACGTCAGCGTTGTAATGCAAAAGCTACCGTTACATTCTCAATTGAAAGCTGGTATTCAAATAATAAGCAGCTCAGATCATTGAAGGCTGATTGCTAAACAAGGCGTGGAGGAGTAATGACCTGTTCTCTAGTAGTTCACACAGTAGATCAAAGATATGTACATTTCGCCTTAATTGAATCATTTCGAATCCATTGCAGTTTCCTCAGCCTTGGCTCCTGTGTTTTAATCTCTGACAGAAGTGCTACTACTGTAAGAAGCGGATGAAGAAGGCGTCTGGCTGCTGTGTGCAGTGCTCTCATGGCCGCTGCCCCACTGCCTACCACCCCACCTGTGCCCAGGCTGCAGGGGTGCTCATGCAGCCTGATGAATGGCCCTTTGTAGTCCACGTTACCTGCTGTCGACACAAAGGGCCCACTCAGATTGAGGTAAGGAGCTTCTGATGTCTCTTTTTCTTTAAAGGTAGAATAGATTCAAATGTTCTCATCAAAATTCCTTAAAAGGACTTGACCGATGTTGTATATTTAGTTGAGTTGTGTACATTATCCCACATGTATCAGAGGAATCTGTTATTCAGTACAGTGAGTTTCATTTGGTCATCCCCTTTTAAGCATGTGTCAGCATGAACGTTTAAGAAGGTCATGATTTAAAGAAGGACTAATCAAGTGTCAAACAGGGATGTTGATTTAGCTACAAAAATAAATAAGTGCTGATATAAAAATAAGTCTTTTCCAATGTAAAGTCAGTCGATGCGGAACAAGTATTTTCACAGACTGACATGGCAGTACCACCGTTTGGCTTCAATGCCCAGCCCACTTCCTGGGGTTTGAGCTGACCAAAAGGATGCATTCCCAATGCTACCAAACCACATCTGTGTTACTGCTGTGATGGAGATAACCCATGTGACCCTTTGTTTCCCTTGTTGTACAGTGCAGTGCAACCAAATGTCAGGTACTACAAAAGTAGCATCAACATAAGCCGTTCATAAAGATATGTTTTCTTAAATCTTCTCTTGCAGCGCAATAAAGCAGCCATGCATGAGCTGACGGTGGGACAGAAGGTGATCTGCAAGCACAAGAACGGCCGCTACTACCAGTGTGACGTGGTGCAGCTGACTAAAGAGACCTTCTACGAAGTCAACTTTGACGATGGTTCCTTCAGTGACAATCTCTTCCCCCAAGACATCGTGGTAAGTCTCACTAACTCATCTTTATCTTGTCAACGTTTCAACTCTAAAAGGACTGACAGGGAGTAGAAATCTGGATATTCTTTGTTAAAGAACATCCAATCTGTTATTATGAACTTTGGTATGTTTTTACCTATAGCGCAGATTGTTGCCCTTTTAGATATGCATGTTTAACTTTGAGTTTTTCTTCTGGACATTATTTGTTGTACTGCACTGACGTTAATGTGTAGCATTGTGTTTCCAATGTAAGACATGAGATGATGTGTGATTGCAAATGCTCAGAACTCTGTGTTTGGCTTTTCAGAACCGAGACTGTGCCCAGCTTGGGCCCCCTCCTCAGGGTGAGGAGGTTAAGGTGCGATGGACAGACGGCCTGGTGTATGGGGCCAAATTTGTGGCGTCGCGTGCCATCTACATGTACCTGGTAAGATGCTGTTTTCACAAAGCTTGAATAGCTGTTATTAAGTCAAACTTAAATACAGACTCAATTGTAACATGTAGAATATAGTTGCCAGCACAAAACAGTCTTCATCTTACAAATGATTCTACAATAGAGTTGCATATGTTTGTTTTATTTAAGGGCTGCCTCTGAATGCCTCCTGAAACTGCCCCTGTACCTCCTGTCTTTGGAATGCCCTGTGCAAGCAGAATCACTGCAGTCTTTAAAGGGACCGGCGGCTGCTCACACTTCACACCTAATATGTTACTTTCCACAAAAGAGAGGAGGAGTGTTTTCTGTAGGCCAACCTGGAAGTTAACATCGTGTGTGGTATTTCAGAATATTGCAGAAAATAAGAGCTGTGCCAAACACACATTTATGAGACTTAAAAGTTTTGTTCAGCAGGAATAATCTCCAAATATTAACACCACTTTGTTAAGCGTGATGCAATCACCAGAAGAAGCTAACTTTAGGCTATAAACAAATGACATCACAGTCGCTAAGCTAAAGGTGGTCATGCTCTGTCAGAAACTGCTTGTATGGTACGTAGAAGCTTTGAACATTCACAATTGGGGATTTTACTGCTGATTTTATGTTGTGGAATGAAACACGAAAATCTCTTCAGCTTGTATTTCACCCGTCTCACCAAAACACGTTTACAAAAACTTTGATTTTGAAATAAGGGAGTCGGAAGTAGTAAACTGAGACATGTCTCCATGCTCTAATGTTCATAAAGCTCTTTCTTGTTCTCACACTGCCTGTGCTGCAGCACCTCTTTTCACCCTCTGTCTGAAACCAGAGCCCAGTCTGCTCTGATTGGTTAGCTGGCCGGCTCTGTTGTGATTGGTCAACCACTTTGATATGTGTCGGAAACGTCCCGCCCCTTAGCCAATCACGTACAATGTGTTGGAGCGCCAGCCAATAGAAGCGCAAGTACATAGTGATGTCAATATGTTAGGGAAGTAAACAAAGGATTCAAATGAAGTAGGGGGAGTGTGTGGGAGAGAAAGTCCCTCTGGAGAGAACTTTGGGATTTTAGCCTTTGCAGACCATTTACATGCACACAAACCTATAGAACACTACAGGAGAGGGAAAACTCCAAAAAGCATAATAGGGCCTTTTCATTGTATTGCTTTTCTAGCAGTTACACTCATCATTATTTATACAAATAGGTGTTTAGTGTTCTCTCCTTATCTTTACTTATTATGGTTGGAAGGAGATATTTGACATATGAATATGACATTTCTCTGACTGCGTTGTGTGCTGCATTTTGGGCTGTAGGTGGAATTTGAGGATGGGTCTCAGCTAACGGCAAAGAGAGACGACGTCTATGCTCTGGATGAGGAACTCCCAAAGAGAGTCAAGTCAAGACTGGTGAGTGCGACCCAAAGAACACACACATACACACACACACACACACACACACACACACACAGTCCTGAATCCAGCTAACATTTCTGTCTAATCTAGTGTATCCATTTAACAGAGAAAGAGTTAAGGAAAGAAAGTGTGTTAATGTGTGTTTGTCTTCGCAGTCTAAAGCGTCCGACATGAGATTCGATGGCATCTTCGAGGAGAAGGAGATCATCAAGAAGTCAAAGAGACAGAGAGTGATCAACTCGCGTTACAGAGGGGACTACATCGAGCCTGTGATCTACAGAACCATCATGGAGTAACGCTCACTTCCTGTCCGCTCTCACACACACCAGCAGCCTGACACTCTGAACTGTACCCAAACATTAGCTTAGCAGCTAGCCACTGACAAACTGTAGCTCCACATCTTTTCCTTCAGGGCTCGCTTTGGACTGTTCTCCTTTTTTTACTTCCATCTTTGTTCCTTCAATCAAACTTATATTGGCTTTGTTTGACTACGATTAAAGAGACTGCAGCATTTATTTATTTCAGTTGTTCCTGTACCTGGCAGTACGTAGAAGAAGGAAGCATTACAAAAATGGTATTTGATTAATAAACTAGCATTTTGACAGTAATGCAACTTGAAATGTATTCTAATTAATTTCTCTCTACAAAATATTTCAATTAGAAAAGCCATTAGTGGCTAATAAACTGAGCCTGACAATTATCCCAGTTAAAGCTTTTTTTAATTTAAATTTTAAAGTTATAAGGTAGGACTTAAATGTGCCCTTACATTTCTAAATGAATTATTTCAAATGAATACTTTTACTGACATTATTCATATAATTTAATCTAATTTTGTGTGCTAATTTTTTATAATTGTTTCTGTCTGCAACTGACAATTAGTTTTGTTTATAGTGTCAGAAATGAGTGAAAAATGCTCATCACAATTGCCCTGAACTGAAATCTTCATTATTCAATTTAAAATAATGTAAAACAGAACAGAACCAAGCTTCACATTTACAAAACTCGCACAATTACCAATTTGGCATTTTCGCTTAAAATATGATAAATGAATTATGTTCATTCATAAGTCTGTTGACTTGACATTTAGCTCTAAAGATCCTACCCCTGATACCTGCCATGCTCATTTCATTCAACACAACTTTTTAAGGACTATGCACCATGTTTACATAAAAGCAGTTCAAAATAATAAAGTCCTTAAAACTACACCCACTCTTTTGGTCTGCTATGTGCAAGACATTTTTTAATAAATGGCATTGGACCGAACCAAACTAACACAAGCCCTACCTTTTAACAGAATGAAAAAAGCCCTGACACAAAAGGTACTGCGTGTGTCAGGGAGCAGAGCTTTACGTTATTAGCTCCATTTACTTGGCTCCACCTGATAACGCACATCATTCAACATGAGTCCATACAGTCACTGTCCGTTTCTCAATGTCGACTAGAGCTGCTGCAGAGCCACTATTTCAAGTATACTACGTCGTCGAGTGGCGCCGAATGCTGGGCATTTAACATGCATTTAAACAGTCCTTCGGTGCCACTCGATGACGTAGCATACTTGAAATAGTGGCTCTGCAGCAGCTTTACTCGACATTGAGAAACGGCCAGAGTCTTTGGAATCCTTCACCACGGTCCAACTCTTTACAGGTGTAAATCTAATAAACTAAATTGCACTGATATTATCTTTTTAATGATGGGAATTACTCTCCTAAAGTTTTGTATCAGGTAGCTGATCAGCTGGAACGATGCCCGATGTTTTACAATGAAGTTACATTTAGATCATTTCTATCCGCAAACAAAAAGTAATGAAACTACTAAACGTTTTTTTATATATTAGTGCAGGTACAGTGCTTGAGTTTCTGGTCTAACAATTAAATAACCTTTTGGTTATCTTTAAAAAAACATTTTAAGTTTCATGACTGGAAACCAAATACGTTTTTAAATGTTCAAAAGATTTTTACCAAGATTAGCCATCTGACAAGATATGTTTACTGACAGCTTTTGGTACTTGAAATTAGATATCAGAAGATTTAAGTAGAAGTTTAAAAAAGAAAACTTCAAATAACGTTTGAAGAATATTGATAGTAAGCGTGGTTCATTCATTCCTTTTCAGGCCTTTTAACTGCAGTTGACAAACATACAAACATGTTAAATTGCCCTTGAGTTTAGATTATTCAAACTTTAGTTTTTTGGAAAAGTGTGACCACAATATGTATCGAGCTGACATCGTGATTTACTGTGACAACAAATTGAGATTATAATATAACATTTTGGACATATTGACCACAGAATTGGAGTGCTTCAAACCTGGCTTGAGCAATTAAAAGCAAATATATATATTATTATATTAAAATAATCTCCCTACAACTTTAAGAAACTGCTCCCACATGCGAGCAGATAGATTCCAAAAATAATAATATATGGATGAAGTATTTCTTTAAGTGGTAGCAATCCCATTGAATCCACTGGTTGCATTCTGCTGATTGAACTGCATTCCTTTATTAGAAGTGAATAAAGCTTGTTTTACCTGCCTATTTATTAAGGTGCTTTGAGAAAGTTTTGCATTACAGACAGGAGTAGCATTAATGCTGCCGAAGTTGAGTTTAATGATGTATTTTTTTCTACAGTATACAGATGAATTTATTCAGATTTATAACGTGCTTTGTCTATACATTTGTTTCCTCGCTCTTCTACTCAAAGTTGTGCATTGCACTTTTATTTAAGTTTTGTTTGCGAGGACATTTAAATAGGTGTGTGCTGCCAATGCGTACCTGTTATAGAATGTTAATTGTACATTTATGAAAAGTCTTATGGATTGTTCGCCCCTCCCGCTCGGCCAAGCTCGTGTGAGTCTTGTTCTTGTGGTTGTGAGGCTGCAGTACAGACAGAGGAATGCTAGTTTTATAGTTAGCCGTTAGCCAATGCAAAGACCCCGCTTTCATCAGTCCAGTGAAGAATGGATTTTTGTATTCATGAAGTATCATCAGAGTTCAGAGGGGATTTTCTTAACTGTTTTATTGCGTTGTTTTGTAAAACATGTTCTATGTGTGTTCTCACAGAATGCTGTGAAGTGTAAATGTCATGTAGTCTATTTTAAGATGTTACCCGTTGACGCAGGAGAGGAGCGTTCTGTTCTTGTTGCTGAACTCACAGATTATTATTCAAGCAATTTCTAAAACTCATCTGTTCGTTTAAGTAAAGAAATTTGCTTCAGCACTATTTGTCTTGTCCTTATTCTGCATTCACTCCGAGTATATCCGGTTAGATCAAAAAAGCCATATTAAAAAGGGGGCCTCTTGTGCTTTTGGGGGATTTCCCCTTAGTGTATTGTATAGGTTTTGTGCATCTAAATGGTCTGCAAAGGCTAAAGTGACAAAGTTCCCTCCAAAGTATGTCAAATTGACACACTTTTTGTACGTTGTTTTCTTTGCATATTTTCGATTATTTCAGTTATCAAAAACTGTTAAAAAAATATATTTTTTCAATAACACACTATACATTGTTGTTTTTGGAAAATGTTCGATATACTATGTTTTTTTTCCATATTTTCGACATGCTATGTGTTTAGTCGTGTTTAGCATATTTTCCAAATACTATGTCATTTTCTTTGCTTATTTTCGACAATTATTAGGCAACTATTAGTGTGCAGAATTATTATGCAACTAAATGAAAAACGACAACGTTCCCATTTCAATTTATTTTCATCTGTTAAAGTGAGAATAATAAACAACTCAAAATGCACAGATAACAGTCTGAAAAAGATACCAGGCAATATACCAATAAGCCACCCTTCTCTTCAATAACAGTCCCAAGCCTTCCATTCATGGAGTGTTGTTGATCTGTTGACTGTAAGGGAAACTTCTGCAGCAATGGAGAGTCAGGACTCAGAGAGACACGAGGAGAGTTGGAGCTTTGATGTCAAACACTGGTGTTTTATTACAAGTATCGGCCGGAGAATTTCACATCACAAGTCACAGCAGCCAGAGATTCTGACTGCACGGGTGCGTTGCCACATCAACGCTGACCAGCCTCTCTCTCGATAGACCTTTTAACTAGTTTACAGAGAGTTAATCCACATATTGGGGGATGGTGCGTAAACACCTGGGAATACTGGAGATATCCCCAACATCTGGAGCTACTGAATCACTTGCCTGACTCTTAGGCTCTGTGATCGAGAGCTGATCGGTCATAAAACTGAGAATGAGTGCAGCAGCACATTCTTTAAAGGAGATAACAGAGTCAGGAGCCAATAAGGTTAGACTCCTAAGTAATTATAAGGATACCCCTTTCGTCTCATTAATATGCATGAACAAGTGACAGGTGACACGCCCCCAATTATGCAAATGAGCTAAGTCCCGCCTCCCATTGTTCGAGATCCTTTGATGTGAGTGGGTACAATTATGTTAATGAGCTAAGTCCTGCCTCCCTTTTGTTCGAGATCCTTTGATGTGAGGGGTGAGGTGTTATAACAGGTAGGTGTGAAAAGCCCCCGGTGTAGTGCCTTTGTTGTCTAATCCTTTGATGTGTTGATTAAGGCAGTCTCTTTGAAGTTATGTTGTCTGGGCCCCTGTCCCCCCACACCCCTTTGTTGTCTAATTCTTTGATGTGTTGATTAAGGCAGTCTCTTTGAAGTTATGTTGTCTGGCCCCTGTCCCCTCACACCCCTTTTGCGGCTTTCACACAGGGGCGGCGCCAGGGGGGAGCTAGGGGGTGCTGAAGCACCCCCCAGGATTGCCAAAGCACCCCCAAGATTTTTTTATTTTTTTTTCGAAAATTATTATTATTATTTTTATTAAATTAAATCAGAAAAATTATTGATTACATCAATGCAAATGTGAAACAAACAAATGTTTGACCAAAAACATAAAGCCAACACAGGTGATATGATTAGGCCAATGGCCAGCACCCATTAGATTTTTGACCTACCCATAGGCTAAATTACTTTGTGACACTTGAGTGACTTCCTGTTAGCTGGAGCCCCACATTATTTGCTAACAGCAAAGTGACAAATGGATCGTTTTTTAGTCCTTAAACGTCCACATGTGGACACTCAATCAAAACCAACTGAAAGCGAGAGGGATTCTGCACATAATAGACCTCGTGAGTACAAGTAGTAGCTTACTTCTGGGTCTCTGTGTTTCATTCAAGCTCTGCTCTGTGTGTGTGTGTGTGGCACGAGCCATTTTGTGTGCGTGCGCAAGCGAGCGAGAGAGAGAGAGCTCGCGCACCGGTGGGTATCTACCGGAGATCGTTGTGGTTAGCATCTGGTGCTAGCTAGCCAAGCTAACGGATATAAGGAGCTTTTTCAACAACAAGGTGGAGGGAGAACTATCTCCTGTCAGACGAAGAGTCTCAGATAACCTCAGCTCAGGTGAAGTAAAGGACTCTCAGTGTTTAGATAGTTAACTTTAGTCTAGTTATCTCAGTGGGTCTCAAACGGTTTGTTTTAAAAGGGGAGTGATTTGTAAAATATCTATAAAGAAATAGAAAATCTGTTTACAGTTCTGTTTCATATGTATGTTGAGAGATACAGTATATCCATAGATCTCTTCATTTTGCTCTCCAAGTGCACCAGATTGATGCTTTTAACTTCAATATTTTAAAAAAAATCTCCCCGGACCCCACTAGAGAAGGTGAGGACCCTCCTGGAGGAGGTGAGGTCCACACACCACTTGTAAAAATAGCACTTTACTCCTGCTTACACCTATATGCCGTGAGCTGATTACCGAGCCTTCATTGTAACAGTCGCGGGTATACTGTGTGTGCGTGTGGGGAGTGTTGCAGTAGAAAATTCAACTGTAGCGCTGGTGCATTAATGGGAAACCCTTAATGTTTGAGCACCCTCTATGAAACGTCAAGCTACCCCACAGCACCCCCTAGAGAAAATCTCTGGCGCCGCCACTGCTTTCACACCAGCGCTTTTCCCTTTCTAGCTCCGAGCGGGAGCTTTTCTGGTTCAGCTCCGGTTTCCCTTTTCTGCTTCCGCTCTGTTCACACCGCCCAGAGCC